ACCAAGCGAAGAACATGAAAATAAGTACTCAAGGTTAAGAAAAGAAATCTTAACAGCTTTTATTGACAATATTGGTTTGGTCTGCCTCTCCATGAAGAGGTTCAGAGCCTTACAATGGTGTTTTCTCTTCCCATAAGATGGGTATCTTTTTCTCTTCTCTCTCTCTCTTGTGAATAGTGATGAAGAAGCAGCCCCCTTTCTAGGGCTTCTGCTCTTAGTATTTATAGATGTGAGCTTCGTGACCTGGCAATAAATGGCCGTGGCCATGCTGAGGTTCCGTCCCCATGGGGGAATGAATGGGCCGTGCCCTCGTAGATTAAATCGGACAAGAGTCGAATCCTGTTATGAATAAGTAGCCATACCACTTATTAATTATGGATTAACTCAAGACGAGATTAATTCCGTTAATTACCGTGAGATCGGATTCTGACCCATACAGCTAGCATGATTCTTTCTCTTAATTTTTGCGATGGACTGCATTGTTTCAAAGGTGACAACAATGAAATAGGAAGGCCGGCCAATGTCAATTGCCTATTGCCTTTGCCAAAGGCCGAGTCAGGTTTTGTAGTTTATAGGTTCGAAAATAAGTTTTTTAAAAACTAAAAGTTTTCCAGAAAAAAGTTGTATTTTTTTTTGGGGACAACTATTCAAGTGAAATGCATGTCCAAATATAATTTTAAATTTTAAGTAGCATTTTTTAACTGAACTCCAAATACTAGTACTTTTTTCAAAATTCACAAATTTTATGTACAAATGGCTGCTAAGTGTTGTTTAAATTTCTGGCCCATTATTAAAGTAAACAATAAAAATACTCCCTCCGGTCCAAAATAAGTGATTTTTTGGCCTTTTTTTTGTGGTCCAAAATAAGTGATTTTTTCAGATTTCAAGAATGAATTAATTATTTTTTTCCTACATTGCCCCTGGAGTAAATAATGTTGGAGTATGTGTTAGGAGTATTTATGTGAAGAGATAGCAAAGGTTAATATGGTCAATTTTACTGCTAATTAATGCTAAAAGATAAATTTCTTAATATGTGTGAAAACAACTAAAAAATCACTTATTTTGGACCGGAGGGAGTACTTTCTTTGTTTTCTAAAAAGACACTTGTTTTGACCAAAGTGGTTCGGCTAAAAAGACGAATCTAATTCAATATTGGCAAATAATTTTTTTATCATTTTAACACTAAAAAAAACCGAGAAAAGAGAGAGTTAATAAGACGAGAATTCTCTCTTTGTTTGTTTCACGGTTTTGGCGGCTTTTGGTTTATGTTTTTGTCTTGCGACAATGCTAAGAATGTGTTATATTAGTAAAAGAAGATATATGGTCACGTGAATTTTCTTGTTCTAAAAATTCTCCACATTAATGTTGAGTTTGTTTCTGTCATAATTTTGTCCAATCACTTCATTATGTGCATTGAACCTTATCTTGCATGTATAGTTGCATTCATGGGAAAGAGAGAGGTTTGGTCATGGAGTATACCATTTCCCATATTTTTTTAATTTTTTTTAAATATTTTATAACGATATTATTTGGATCAGCTTGCGTACTTGTCTATTTCACCGAATACCTGCTACCTTCCACCATTATATAAACATTAGGTAACTCAGTTGTCAAAACCTTGGGTAGATAAAAAGAAATCACCTACTCCCTCCGGTCCAAATAAGTAATTTTTTGAATGTTTTCACACAAATTAAGAAATTCACCCTTTAGCATTAATTAGCAATGGAATTGACCATATTAACCTTTACTATCTCACATAAACACTCCTAATAACACATATTCCAACACCATTTACTTCAAGGACAATGTAGGAAAAAAATAATTAATTAATTCTTGAAATCTGAAAAAATCGCTTATTTTGGACCACAAGAAAAAGGTCAAAAAATCACTTATTTTGGACAAGGAATAGTATTTTTTGCTTTGATTGAAGTTTGAACCTAAGACCTTATGCTTCTTTTTTACGGTAATTATTTTTTTCCTTCTTTTACTTTCTTAAAAATGATAATCATGTATGTTATTTTTTGTGGGAAGTATCATTTTCACACTAATATAACACTTTTAACAAAACAAAGTATATAAGAGAGAAAAAAAAGTACGGCAATAAAGAGTTAATAAATGCTCAACTCATGTTGGGTATAGATTTTTTTACTCATTTTATAGTCGAAATTCTTGAATTGTAGTACTTATTAACTTTTTCTCCGAGTTATGGTTAAACTGTAATTTAATTTAATATATTTGCATTGAAAGACTTGCATCATTTTTCGTATTTAATAGATATTCATATGTTTACAACAAATGTGTGGAAAAATCACAAATGTTTCATGATTTTAAAGTGTGAAACGTATAATACAATTTACACTTAGCTAAACTACAACTATTCCAAACCTTTAGCACAAAAACATCAAGTAAAAGTGACTATATCTACCCATTTATTATAGAATAAGAGTATAAATTGTTCTCCAAAAGTTATACAGGAATGATAAGCGCTTCTCCATCTTTAACAAGACGTTTTAGGTTCAACCACTAAAAATCAAATCATTTTTACTTTTTGATGTAAATCTGAATTAGTCCGACCTTAAAGCGGGTAGCGGAATGTGCATACTTTAGTTTTGACCAGTCAAAGACTTGACATGCCCAGGAAACACAAGAGGCTTGTCGTGAGAAATACTAGGAAAAAGATAAACTGGAAATTAAATATATCATACAAGCAAAACTTGTTGAAAGAGGAATATTCCAAGAAACTGAGTTTTTTCTCTTTTACATTGTTGACAGAATATTCCAAGAAATGGAGTTAGACGAAGAAAGACTTAGAGCTCTAAAGACTTGTGACATTGACTAAAAATTATATATCCTCGTTGCTTTTGGCACGCCCATTAAGAAAATACTAAATTTTATACAAAAATACCTAGTATGACTAAACTGCCCTTAATTAAATATTTAATGTGAGGAGTAAGAAAACTTTTTAGGGATATGTACATAAGGGTAATCTTGTAAAAACAAATTGAATTCTTTCTTGATTATATAAATAGACACTTATTTTGGATCAAAATAACAAAGCAAATTGATCACTTATTATGGACCGGAGGGAGTAGCTTTATTGTTTTTTACTTTGAAGTTCCCGAATTGCAGTTTTCGACAATTTATAACCAAAAGCCAAATTAATTTTGAATTTATTATCTTAAGGAATTTAATTTTTTGTGTTTTTATGAAATCCAACTGGGAAATATTTTCTTATGATGTTAAGACTATATTACATTACTTGATTATGTACCTTCTCGTTAAGGCTTTAAGGCGAACCGTATGATGGATGAATAAGGAAGTATTTGAGGTAAACACGGAGATGAGTTCAAAAAAAAAATTGAGAAAAAACACGACGGTTGAAGGTTTAATTCTGCATTAGAATCAAATGGTAACTACTTTCAATATTTTTCTTGCGCAACATTTAATTTCCAATAGATCCTGTCTTTCATGTTCTTGAAATCCAGCTCCTTCAACTAAAAAAAAGAGAAAAAAGAAAGAATTTAACTTTATTTCTCTATAAATAAAACTTTCTAAATCTGAACAAATTGATCATATGCCACTTTTTTGGCCATGTGGGGATGACTGTTGTCTATTCATCATCAATAATGACTAGGGTGAGCATAGTTTGACAGATTCGAAACAACAATTCAATTTATAAGCTCAAAATCAAAAATTCAAAATATTTAAATTGAAAAAGTCGAAATTGAACTTCAAAGATTCGACCCACTCCGAGCTTATATGAATTAAATTTGAATTGTTATTTCTTCGATCCAAAACCTAAATATCCAAATCGAAATTTTTATATCCAATCCGAATGGCCCCAACACCTACTCATTACTAACAAGCCAAGTAGTGCACTGGCTGCAAAGACTAGAATGTTTCTAGAATGTTTGACCGTACAACACCTAAATGAGTTGGAAAAATAATTAAAGCCGCCGATTTATATTATTACAAAATTCCATTCCCCTTATTTTTTTTCCCATAATTAATTTTCTTTTCTTGTGAATCAAGAAATTTTAAAAATTTATTCCATATAAAAGAGATTTTAATAACTCAATTTACTATAATCAATTATTGAAATAGAAGCTTCTACGAAATAAGACTTTTTAATGAATCAACTTATTATCATCAATTAGTTCCTTTTTTTCCGGACTTTCTTCCAACAAAATCAATCTCAATAAGTTTATAAATTTAAGTCCCCTACATAAAAGTGAAACATTTAATCTTTTAACAAGTACAGTATATACATATATAATATTTTTTTATTTTTTTATTTATCAGTTAAAAACTTTAAATATTATTTATGCATGTGACTTACGTAAGAGCTGATGTTAAGAGATTAGTTAAAAATTAGGTTATTTTTTAACCAAGTTTTGACTCTTTATTAACACGTTGCAGCCTCTGCAACTTGTTGGCATATTTTTTGGCCTTTTGATACGGTAACTTGTCTCACTCTCTCTTTTTTATTTTTTAATATTATTTAAAAATAATTATTACTGTTACAAAATAAAAATAAATGCAGTTTCTTATCTTCTTTAATTCTTTAAACCAACATGTCAAAAACACAGAGGAAGATAAATCCAACAACAGACAAATGGAAAATATCCAGCCAAAAAGCTTCGGTTTTTTGTTAATCTTTGAGTTTTAACAATTCTTGAAAACTTTACTGGGAAATTACTATTATTATTTTTTTCAAATGGGGTTTTGTGTTTTTGATTTGTTTATGTTTAAATGAATAGTTAATGTCTAATTGAGCTTTGAGGGAAGAAAAAAGAAGCCATATGCGCGTGTAGAATCAAAAATCAAAGTCAATGTTCAAAGCTTTGTGCCAAAGGGGCAGAAATATCAAACATTTGAACAATTCTTCTCTCTTTTTGTATATAATAAAACAATATGTATGCATATATATATATATATATATATATATATATATATATATATATATATATATATATATATATATCAGCTGTCATACTCTCTCTCTTCTTCATAACATTTATTATTTCACTTTGATTCTTTTATTTATTTCAAGCTGAACTTGAAGAATATTGAGTCATATTTGTACAAAGATTACAACTTACTGAGAAATTAACTACCTACTATTTTTTCTAGCTTGTGCCTATATTGGGTCTCAAATTTCTTCTCATTTAATGGTTCTTTGAATTGGGGTTGGTTTAATTTCTTCTTTTCTTTCTTGGGTTTTGGAGGATTTAGCTAAAGTTCAAATCTTGGAACATAATTTGTCATAAAGTTGTGATCTTTGACACTTTCTTGGAAAAACTGCATTACCCTTTTGACACTTACTCTACTGAAAAAAGATAATTTTTTTTATTTTTTTTGGTTAAGAAATGAGAACTGGGAGGAGAAAAAAGCTACATTTCAGCAAGATCTACTCATTTAGATGTGGGAAAGCATCATTTGTTAGTGATGATCATTCACAAATTGGTGGACCTGGATTTTCAAGAGTAGTATTTTGTAATGAACCAAGTGGTTTTGAGGCTGGAATTAGAGATTATGCTGGAAATTATGTTAGTACAACAAAATATACAGCAGCAACTTTCTTGCCAAAATCTTTGTTTGAGCAGTTTAGAAGAGTAGCTAACTTCTACTTTCTTGTTACTGGAATCTTGTCTTTTACACCACTGGCTCCTTATTCTGCTGTCAGTGCCATTCTTCCTTTGATAATTGTTATTGGTGCAACTATGGTTAAAGAAGGTATTGAAGACTGGCGTAGAAAGCAACAGGTATTCACTTCTTCTTTTTCCTGATTTGGAAAGTTTAAACTAAAGCAGACCTTACTGGTAAAACAGAAAAAAAAATTAAAAAAAATTATGTTGTTCTTGTTAGTATAATGATGACATGAGTTGAGATGTGAGGATTCATATAGCACTGCCCCAACTTGTTCGGGACTGAGGCGTAGTAGTTTGTTGTTTGGTTTTTCTCGTCTTTCGAACCTTTTTTAGTTTGATTTTTGGCTAATAATTGTTGTTTGAAAATTGTTCTTGATGATGCTTGTTTCTGCCTAATAAGGATTTGACTGATATAATGATTTTGTTACTGGACTATGTGTGTGAATAATCTAGGATTCTTGGGATCCAACTGTCAGAGATGTGAAAGTTCTGTTTTTTGGACTACTATAAGTGGATGACAAGATAGTTAATGAAATCTATAAGGATTGTGTATATGGTAAATTTTTGACACTCCCAAGTATAGCAAAGTTACCATTTTGCAGTGAAAGTATTATTCCCTAAGATAGTCTATTTTCAATTTTTTTTTCATTTTGGGACCAGTTTCATGATTTCTCAATTGATATTCTGGCATTATATCTGGACTTGTTATGTATGATACGGATTCTCTGGTAGTGGAGATTTTGATGTACAGATATTGGTTGTTTATAAATGTACTGATTATTGCCGCTTCCCTGTCCAGCGCCACGCAGTTTGTCATTCGTCTTCTCGTTTTGTTCTTTTCAGGATATTGAGGTGAATAACAGGAAGGTTAAAGTACATCAAGGAGATGGAGTTTTTGATCTTTCTGAATGGAAAAATTTGAGAGTCGGTGATATAGTTAAGGTGGAGAAGGATCAATTCTTTCCAGCAGATCTTCTTTTGCTTTCATCTTGTTATGATGATGCAGTTTGCTATGTTGAGACCATGAACTTAGATGGGGAAACTAATTTGAAGCTTAAACAGGCATTGGATGTTACTTCATCGTTACATGAAGATTCGCACTTCAAAGACTTTAAGGCTTTAGTTAAATGTGAAGATCCTAATGCTAACTTGTATACTTTCGTTGGAAGTATGGAATACGAAGAACAACAGCATCCTCTTTCTCCCCAGCAATTACTCCTCAGAGACTCTAAATTGCGCAACACAGAATATATATATGGGGCCGTCATCTTTACTGGTCACGACACTAAGGTCATGCAGAATGCGACAGATCCCCCTTCTAAAAGAAGCAAGATTGAGAGGAAAATGGATAGAATCATTTACTTCTTATTTGCAGTTTTGTTCACAATTTCTTTTGTTGGATCAGTCTACTTTGGAATTGTAACTAAAGAGGATCTAGATGGCGGACATAAAAGGTGGTACCTGCAACCCGATAGATCAGAAATTTTCTTTGATCCGAGAAGAGCTCCTGCTGCTGCCGTTTACCATTTCCTGACAGCTGTAATGCTGTATAGCTACTTGATTCCGATCTCCTTGTATGTGTCGATCGAAATTGTTAAAGTTCTTCAGAGTATCTTCATTAATCAGGATATTAACATGTACTATGAAGAAACTGATAAACCAGCACATGCTCGCACCTCAAATCTAACTGAGGAACTCGGCCAGGTTGACACAATACTTTCCGATAAAACTGGCACACTGACTTGTAATTCAATGGAGTTTGTCAAGTGTTCTGTAGCGGGAACTGCTTATGGACGTGGTATTACAGAAGTTGAAAGGGCCATGGCTAAAAGAAATGGATCTCCGCTGCTGAAAATAGGTAAGGATCATGTTGAGGATGGTGCAGTTAGTCCTAGGAAGTCCACTGTTAAAGGCTTCAATTTTGAAGATGAGAGAATCATGAATGCGAATTGGCTTTTTGAGCCTCATTCAGATGTAATACAGAAGTTCTTCCGTTTATTAGCAGTCTGTCATACAGTCATACCAGAAGTAGATGAAGGTACAGGCAAGGTGTCATATGAAGCCGAGTCTCCAGATGAGGCAGCCTTTGTCATTGCTGCTAGAGAAATTGGTTTTGAATTCTATAAGAGGACGCAGACAAGTGTGTCGGTGCATGAATTGGATTTGGCTTCTGGACAGAGAATTGAGAGGTTAGTTAACTTGAAACATGTTTTTCCAATATATGTTATCAGCATCTTTAGTTTTCTGAAAGAATAGCATTTTGCAGCCTAGTACCGGTGACATTTCTTGTTTTCAAAATGATGTTTAATCTCTCTGAAACACTTTAGACGATGAATGTTAATTATGTTTTTCTGATATTTTATACAGTGGTATAAACATAAGCAAATTCTTTTCTTAAGAGTAATCATAGAGATCTTTGTTTACAGGTCATATAAGATTTTGAACGTTTTGGAGTTTAATAGTACAAGAAAAAGGATGTCCGTCATAGTAAAGGATGAGGACGGAAAGATCTTGTTACTCTCCAAAGGTGCTGACAGGTTAGTCAAGTTGCAACTTCGCATTCGCCATAAATTCTTTAAACTCCTATTTTAGTTACTGACCTAGTTTTTATGCAGTATCATGTTTGAAAGACTTGGAAAAAATGGAAGAGAGTTTGAAGAAGAAACAAAGGAACATGTGAATGAGTATGCCGATGCAGGTTTGAGGACCTTGATACTGGCTTATCGTAAACTCAGTGAAGAAGAATACAAAACGTTCAATGAAAAATTCCTAGAGGCCAAGAATTCAATCAGTGAAGACCGTGAAACAATCATTGACGAAATAACAGATAATATAGAAAAAGACTTGATTCTTCTTGGTGCTACTGCTGTGGAGGACAAACTTCAACCAGGGGTAAATTCTATGAAGCCACACAACTATTTCCAAGCATTGTTGATTGATTATATTGGTTGATAATTGACATATTTGGTTGTGTATTGACTTTTCTGTTTCTATTCATGCTATAGGTTCCGGATTGCATTGACAAACTGGCTCAAGCAGGCATAAAAATTTGGGTTTTGACTGGGGATAAGATGGAAACTGCCATTAATATCGGGTATAGTAATGGATTGCGAGTTTTTGTATTTCTTATTTGATACAAGCTTTGCTTGTCCAAACAATTCTGACCAAACCGTCTTCTGCAGTTACGCATGTAGTTTGCTTAGACAAGGAATGAAGCAAATTATCATAACGCTGGAAAGCCCTGAAATTATAACTATAGAGAAAACTGGAGAAAAGAATGCAATTGCCAAGGTAAATACATCTTTACTTTTTTGCATTGCTTGTTGAAGTAGCAGCTATAGCTACATGACTAAATACATGGAAATGATTCTTTAGATTTTAGTTTTTCATATTCATGATGTTGTGTGTGATATTATTTTTATTACAGGCTTCAAAGGAAAATGTTTTACGACAAATTACTGAAGGGAAGGCTCTACTTACTGCTTCAAGCACGGAGGCATTTGCTTTGATCATTGATGGGAAATCTCTTACATATGCCCTAGACGATGACGTAAAAAATATGTTTTTGGACCTTGCAATCAGATGTGCCTCTGTTATATGCTGCCGTTCATCCCCAAAACAGAAGGCACTGGTAAGTTGAAAATTGACTTCACAATCTCTCAGTCCTCTCTTTGTATTTTATCTGTAGTCAGCTTTTCTCTCTATTCTTGTGCTGAGTTTGACTACTCCTTCGAAATGTAGGTAACAAGACTTGTCAAATCCGGGACTGGAAAGATAACTTTGGCAGTTGGAGATGGAGCTAATGATGTAGGAATGCTTCAAGAAGCTGATATTGGAGTTGGAATCAGCGGCGTTGAAGGAATGCAGGTTCAAGAGCTTATACATTTCTCTTGACTTTTTGTAGCAACTTTGATGATTTTCACATTTCTTCAATTCTTTTCTTCTACCTACCCTAATTAATTGTTCTTATCATAATTTTTTCTTCTTTTACTCATTAGGCTGTTATGTCAAGTGATGTTGCTATTGCTCAATTCCGTTTTTTGGAACGCTTGCTTTTAGTGCATGGACATTGGTGTTATAGAAGGATCTCTTCGATGGTAATCTATTTTTCCTCTAATTTTCTCTTTTAAATTTGTTCTCTCATCATTATTTAGATGAGATAAAGATTGATTATGAATAAATCTATTGCCACCGAGGAACTGTTTCAAAACACAGAAAATATTTGCAAGTATTTTGTGGAGCAGTTTGGTAACTGGCTTTTTATATTTGTTTCCCTGCAGATATGCTACTTCTTCTACAAAAACATCGTATTTGGTATCACTGTGTTCTTATACGAGGCATATACATCATTCTCTGGACAACCAGCATATAACGATTGGTTTCTGTCAACTTACAACGTCTTCTTCACATCACTCCCGGTGATTGCTTTGGGAGTTTTTGATCAAGATGTATCTGCCCGATTGTGTCTTAAGGTATGTTACACTTGATGCAGTATTCACATTTTCTTAACGCATGTGGCTTTATTCCTAGCATTTGTATAGCTTCTTGGACACGAGATGGAATTAAGTACTTTTTTCTTAGTTTCTAATTATTCTTTTGGTATTATGTGGCAGTTCCCTTTGCTGTATCAAGAAGGTGTTCAGAATCTCCTCTTCAGATGGCGTCGTATAATAGGCTGGATGGTCAATGGCGCTTGCAGTGCGGTGATAATCTTCTTCTTATGCATAACAGCATTAGATCCTCAAGCTTATAAAAAAGATGGTAAAGTTGCTGGATATGCAGTTGTTGGAGCAACCATGTACACATGTGTTGTTTGGGTTGTCAATTGCCAAATGGCGCTCGCTATTAGTTATTTTACCTTAATCCAGCACATTGTAATCTGGGGTGGAATTGCTCTCTGGTACATTTTCCTTCTGATTTATGGAACCATGTCTACAACATTTTCCACTACCGCGTACAAAATCTTCGTGGAAGCGTTAGCTCCGGCCCCATTCTACTGGATCATCATAATATTGGTGACAGTTTCAGCTCTACTTCCCTACTTTATATACAATGCTATTCAGACGCGGTTCTTCCCATTGTACCACGGGATGATTCAATGGATAAGGTACGAGGGGAAGTCCGATGACCCAGAGTACTGCCATGTGGTGAGACAGAGATCGATAAGGCCCACAACCGTAGGTTTCACTGCTCGTTCATTGGCGAGAACGAATCCTTTGGAAGACAGGAAAGAGAGGAGCAGTAGCCACAGATAACCACTGTCCAAGTTGGATTTTCACGAGCAGTATACATGTTTCTATTGAGCTGCGTACACCCCACCCTCCTCAGACTCCACGTGTGGGATTTCACTGGGTATGTTATTGTTGTAAGCTGGAACTTGCTCATTGTACATGTTTCTCGAGCTGGTTCTGTACACAACTACATACATGGAGGCCACCTCGTCGAGGTCCAATTGACGCAACGCCGTACTACTGTACCATGTCTTAAATGGGCAAAGATGCCCCACAAGTTTGTAAATTTTGTACTGGTAATATAGTATGTAATTCTTTCATTCTACACCTTGTAAAATTTTTGTTGAGTACTAGAAGCAGCATAGCAGATAAGCAACTTTTAATAAGGAGGAGGATTGGTTTTGTTTTAAGTTATAAGACCCCATATTCTCTTTCAAGTTATTATCATCTGTACATTTTTTGATTAATAAAGAATGAGCATTTCAGTTGAACTCTAAGTGTGTGCACATATTTTTTTCTTTCTGCAACAATACATACTAACCAGAGGCGGGATATAGGATTTCTAGAACATGGGTGCACCACTTTAGAAAGGAGAAAAAAAGTAATGTATAAAGTGGCAATCGATCCCTATTTTTTTTTGGATAAATAACTCTGTATTCAACCAAGTGCACCATTCAACCTTTTTGAAGCATGGGTGCCAGTAGATAATATTAGACCAATTCTAGAAAATACATACATAACACGTGCCCCATAATCTAAGCTATAAATCCGCCCCTGGTTAAAGAAGCCATATTAGACTAAAATGACGCGACTAAACATCTTATATATACCCGAAAAAACGTCAAATATACTGAGAGAGTATACAAGGCGAATTCAGGATTTAGAGTAGGTAAGTTTGGAGTGAGTGTGTCTATAAAAAATATACTACTCTTTTAAAAAGTAATTACATGTATTTTTATTTAATAAGCATTGTAAAAGAGCATGTAAGAGTGTCATTGCAAATTGAAAGATCCAAAGATTTGTATCAAATGAGTATGAAAAACATCATAATCAACTGTTTGTTTTCTTATACATGTTGAGATGCACTTTGTCTCTAAAACCTCCTCTTCATTCCCACCCCAAAAACTACCAAAAGCAAATTCACCCTTTTGAGAAAACTCTTCCAAAACCTTTTCAACTTCTTCCATACAACATAAATTTTCAAACTCAACCCTCAAAGATCCTCCATGATCTTTCAAGATTTCATCTTCATATCTTCTATGCTCAATCTTCATAGTTTTCTTGTTCCGACGTCGATCTCTCAATTTCTTTACATATCCTTTTGTTTTCTTAAACAGTTTGCATGGGAGGTTAAGCAAGAATAAGATGATGATTTGCAGGATCAAGCATTGGCAGCAGCAACATAAGACTATGCAATCGGCCGCGATAATGTTTTTGTCTACCATTGTCTGTCAAAATGGAAGCAGAGAAAGGAGAGAAGGGTGAAGGTTATGAATAGAAGTCATTTGTTGTCAAGAACTAGGTTGCTTCTCTTATAAGAAGGGTATATTGATGTTTGAAGCATGAGAAGATATTGTCTGCAAAGCTAAAAAATGGAACTCATAGCTTAAAGCAAAATGTGGAAGGAAGCATAAGCTGTCCTTTTCTAGGTGACTTGTATTTCATATGTTCATGGATAGCTAGCAGAATAACTTCGCTTGTGTGAACTTGCTCATATTGTCGGTCTCAAGTCCAGATAAAGGAGCGTAGCGGTAGGTTGATAGTCAGCATAAAAAGAATCAAATTTACGATGTATCCTAATACATTGAGATGTGCTCACCTAGGCACTATTGGACTAAGATGTGTTTAAATGGAGCGATATGGACAGTGAGGATTTATATAGCCAATCATAACTTACTTGGGATTGAAGCGTAGTTATTTGTTTGTTTATGTATAGCTAGCAGAAGGGTTCACTCAACAGGCTTGACTTTTTGAGGTCTTTGTCTGACTTTTTGCACTTGCCTTCCAAAGAAAGACAACCTTTTCTGAATCTTGCTTTTTGTTCTATTCCTTGTGTCAATATATGTAAAACTAAGCAATGTAAAATGTTAGCCTCTGTTTACAATTTTCTTTACGTGAATATTAATCATTGGAGTAGAAACCTTCTGATGAAAACTAAGAAATACTAGCAAACTTATCACCAAACTTTAAAGGGCCTTTTCTCTTTCTTTTGAATCTTTCAGGATCAGAAATAACCTGATTTACAACTGGTAATTAAAAAATAGTTACAGTTTAAAAAATAATCGAAATTTAGTCATTTTTTCGTGTAAAGATAAAATCAAAACAAAATCACCCTTAAAAGTTCGAAAAATTTCCAGCATAATCTGCTAGAGTTCGAATTTTTTACATATGAGATTCTAGCATAATGTGCTGGAATTTCATAATGGACAGAAGTTCAAACATAATATACTAGAAGTTTATACGCAGGAACTCCATAATCCAGTATATTATGCTTGAATCTATGTAGCTTGAACTCTTCGAAAATGTTGTCGGGTGGGTGTCAGTTCCTCCAAAAGTAGTGTATTTTTGGAGGATCCCATACGGGTGCGGCATAATTTTGGAAAGTCCGCGCAACATAGGCTGGAACTTTCCGTGTTTCAGCTAAAATAGTGGCTATTTTTCAATGAGTTTTGCAAACGCCAGTTACATTTCGATTACTAGTCAGAGAAGTTGCTAGCCCATGCTATTTTTACAAATCTTTCTCTTATTTTCTTCTCTCTCTCTTTCTATTTTTCCTTTTTTTTATTCGCGGAAACCGGGGGAGGAAGGGGGTGGTAAAGCTGTTGATCTCAAGACCTGTATGTTCCATCAAAGATTACATTTCCACCATTTTGAGAAGAACAAACAAATTGAATAAACCTTTTGAAAGAACAAATATTGGAGAAGACAAAAAATTCCAGTTACTTACAGGAAAAATTGCTACCAAAATAGCAGGGCTTAAATGTAAGCCAGTAAAAAAGGAATCTACTTACAAAACCTAACCAACAACTAACCTCGAAGGGGCAATCGTATACCTCTCAACGTAGGCGCCTTTGATCTATAAACGGATACATACACTTGCTTTAGCAAGGCCTTTTGGTTGTGTGCTATAGTAACTATACCCTATCTTCAGCCGATTCTCCACTATGGTGTGTACCTTGACTAAAAAAATCGGAACTAAAATCTGGACTACCAAATGCCATCCTTCGAAACAATCTTATTTCTGCAGATTGTTCTGCAGTGTTATATATTGTACTTTCACCAACTTTCATTCCATTTGATAGATCAGAAATAGACAAACTATCAAAAGCTCTCACGATCTGCAAAGAAAAGAACGATTGGAACGTAAATTCCTCTTCATGACAAGTCTTAACGGTGTTTCAGGTGTAGGATTTTAGTGAAATAAAGAATCGGTTACCTGTCCCATTCCTGGTCTCTTTGCAGCTGAGTGGCGCACACAAGCTGCAGCTGCTTCAATCAGTTGAAGCATCTCGGTGGCAACATAATTCCTCTCGAGGCGTGGATCTGCCAACTGATCAAATTCCCCTTTGTCGAGTGCATGATTAAACAAAGGCCGAGCCTGGAAAAGAAAAAAAGATCAAATTGCAGCATGACTCAAAAAGTTTTACATTGACACGACTGCAAAACAGTGTTAGGCTGATTCGAAGTTGGGTCTGGTGATTAGTACCAGAATTCAGTTCTAACTGAAAGAATTAGTCTTCTCAGAAACTTTCTAAAGAGAAGGATGATTGCCATACTTTGTTAGGAAATACAGCTGTAAATTAGGCTACTGACTACAAAAGGAACCAAATGAAATGAAAATCATTTTTAGTGGAAGCCTTCTGCTCGGTGTAATATCCATGAAGTGACATTTAAGCGGACAACTTGTTGGGATTTTTGGTTGTTGCAAAGCAACTAAAAACCTCAAAATTTCAGGTGAAGAAAAACTAATGACCGAAAGTGAGACAATTGTATCATAAAACAGAAGTATAAGAAATGAATGCAGAATAATTGCAAAAAGCTGGCCTTCTCAGATCTAGGTGAACGAAATTTAAGAGTGCCTAGGAAATACAGTATCTCCAACATATTCGGCTATGCTCAATCAAAGATGGTAAAATATTGAGACTCTTATTTATAAAACAAGAGATTCTCCTTCAAGGCCTGTCAACTATAAACAAGACTAAAGAGATCAAACTACAATCCTGTTCCAGTATGAAAAACAGCGAAAAACAGCTGTTAATCACAGCGGGCTGAACATGCTTATCAAATATATGGACTCAAATGGACCCTTACAATATGGAAACGCTCCAACAATGAAGCACCATCTGTGTAATTAGTACACAACCAAACTGACCTAAGATTTTCTCTCACCCACTAAGTCAAGTAAGCTGCAAATAAGTAAACATCAAATCTGTCTCCATCCTTATCTTGCTTTCTCAATATCACTAAAGGGTATTAAAAAGTACCACTCTTCATGAACAAGAAGAGCAGCATTTTCAGCAATTTCTACTTGGTCATTGCTTTAACTCTAGCTTTTGGACACCAAAATTCCCTGGATTTGTTTTGCTCTAAGATATCTTATTTGTGCCCTACATCATCAAATGTCCCCCCTGATAAGCCTAAAATTAAGGATAAAATTGGAACGACATCTTTCCTAGAACATGTAGAGGGGCTACAAGGTGATTTTAACAAATCCCAGAGATTTCATGAACACAGATGCCAGCTATTACAGGATACAATGCATGATCGTAGGGGAATCATCAGGATTCCTTAAGGTGCATCCACTTCCAAACTGTCCTCTGAACTTTCTCAATCATACAAGCAAAAACAAGGACTACCTCACTGCCAATTTTAGAAAAGAGCAGCTCTTATCCATTGAAATGGCAGATGAGTAGGCAACTATATGGTAGGTCTAACGATAAACAAGTTCTGTTGCAACAGTCTATTCCCTAAAGTTGAAAATTATACGCGCACACACTTTCCAGAGGCAAATATTTGATAGTTTCTCCACCCTAAGTTTTCCAGGATAGAGGTCTGAATTTCTTTTGAAAGAACCTATAGCAGAGAAACCTCATGCTACTCAGAACATTGGCTGGCTGGTGTGATAGAACAAAGAAACCTAATATTTTTTTTTTTTTGGAAGAGGTGCGACTAGACGCTTGCTGCATAGTAGCAGTGTAGCACTAAGTTCTTGTGCGTGGAAAATGACAGGATGAATCACCAAATCCTATTTAACATGAGATGCAAAGGTTGTCCTAGCGAAATGGACAAAAACAGTACTTATACTGCGCATGCAGATACATTAACTTGTAACTACAATAAATAACCAGAACATAATTCTCACATAATATGGAGAGAAGCTGATGAAAGAGAGAAAGAAAGAAGAGATTGGTTTGGCTACAAACATACCCACTCAACTAGACTCTCCTCCCCTAAAGGCTGAGATGTATCAACAGGCTTCCGTCCAGTAATTAGCTCCAGAAGCACAACCCCAAAAGAATATACGTCGGATTTTTCAGTCAGCTTGCCGCTTGATGCATATTCAGGAGCCATGTAGCTGAAAGGATCCAAGGAATTAGAATAGATACATAGAAAGAAGGAATGTAGTGCATTATTTCCTATTTTCCAATTAGAGTTAATTTTGGTGCAGGAACATACCCAAATGTTCCAACAACACGTGTTGTAACATGAGTTTTTGCATCCTGAGCTAATTTCGCTAAACCAAAATCAGAAACCTGTGGAAGAAAAGAATTGTAAGGCAGTTTGGGAGTCAAAGAATGTTAATAATGGAGTTTGAGGATGTTGACATACCCGAGCCTCGAAATTACTATCCAAAAGAATGTTTGATGATTTAATGTCTCTGTGGATAATTCGAGGATTGCCTGTCATCACCAAGAGAAATGAACAACACAAAAGAAGAGTGATAATAATGAAATCCATAGTTAAGGAATGCAAAAAAAAAGGTTAAAGAATGATAAATAGAATAAGTGCACCGCGTAAATATTACAGGCAACAAGAACAAAGGGGTTGTGTATTAGAGATCAGACCAATAGAATAAACAAAGAGAAGCTAATCAAACATAACTATAAGAATAAAGGAAGAGAAAGAAAGTTACAATCTTCATGCAGATAAGCTATTCCACGAGCTGCACCAACAGCAATCTTAACACGTGTTGTCCAATCCATAACAGGCCTTCCAGCCGCTGTAAATTTCATGTATCCACATCTAGTTTTAGTGACCAAATGTCAAAAGTGAGTTTTGAAAGAAAAATAAAAGATTTGTATTTACCATGAAGATGAAAGTAAAGGGTGTTATTTGGGACATAGTCATAAACAAGGAGCCTTCTACTCTCAGAAATGCAATAACCTACAAGGGAAACCAAATGGCGATGGTGTACTCTACTGATGATTTCAACTTCAGCTCTGAACTCCCGGTCTCCCTGGCGCCCACCAATATCTAGTTGCTTTACTGCTACGTCTCTCCCATCTTCTAGATATCCTTTGTATACAGAACCAAATCCACCCGCCCCCAACAAATTCTCAGCCGAGAAGTCATTAGTAGCCTTAACTAGTTCTTCATAGGTAAACCATATCTTTGAATTTCCCAATCCACCAGATCCTGCAGGAGAAATTAGGCAATTGGAGCCAGTTCTGTTTCCAGTCCCAGGTGTTGATTCTTGTATCTTCAATAAGACAGACTCTGTACATAATTTGCACTCTTCTCAGATTGCAATTTATATTTTTGAACCACAAATATTACATTGATGTTGTTTGAGAGTATCTGAAACATTTATTGACGTGCTAATGAATGATATACTAGCTAGTGAAAAATTACCAGATTGTGGGGTGGAGCCCACAGAGGTTGGCATGACATTCCCGCCATTGAGGCGAAAAGCCTTTTTCTTTCGCTTCCACATGCACCAACCCACTGATCCAATAATACTAAGCAACAAAACAGCAAGAACAACGCCAATGGCAACTGTACCTCCAGTCCCTATGCCGCTACTACTCGGACTGTTTGAGCTATCCGCTGCATTATTACTTGACCTATTGGTAGTGGTGCCATCTGAAGGAACTGGTGGTGAAGGAGGTGGATTTTTAGGAGGTTCCAAGGACGGTGTAGGAGGTGAACTTCGTGGTGGCGTAAATGCTGGCGATGGAGGTGAATTTGCAGGCGTAGGTGGTGAAGGGGGTGAATTTTTAGGAGGGTCAGAGGCTGGGGCAGGAGGTGAACCTTGTGGTGGTGAAGAAACTGGT